GGGGGGGGGGGGGGGGGGGTACAGCCCAGCCTGTACCCTCTCCAATCCAGGAACCCTTAGGGGATGTCCAACTGCCGGTTTAGGCCGGCAGACAAACATCCCTCTCACAATCTGGGACCACTGGCTCCTAACTGCTCACCTGCCTGCCTGCCTGATCACCCCTAACTACCCCCCTGTCAGTCTGGTCACCCCTAACCGCCTCTGTCTGCTGGCCTGATCACCCCTAACTGCCCCCCCTGCTGGCCTGGTCACCCCCAACTGCCCCTCTCTGCCAGCCTGGTTGCCCCTAACTGCCCTGCCCCTGCTGGCCTGGTTGCCCCCAACTGCCGGCCTAGTTGCCCCTCATGGCCCCCCACTCACCGGCCTGGTCACCCCACGCAGCCTGCCGTTCAGTCGTTTGGTTGTCCCTCACTAACCCCCCTGCCAGCCTGGTCATAGGCAGCCATCTTGTGAGGGCATGAGGGTTAATTTGCATATTGCCTCTTTATTATATAGGATGATCTGTCCCCATCACTAGAGTGTAAGCCTCTGGAGAATGGGTGTCTAGAGCTGGGCCTGCTAGGTGTTGGTAGAACTGGTGGGTGTGCAGTAGGGGTTTGCTGGAGGAGGGGATGGAGGGAGGGAAGAAGGGAGGGAGCCCCTGCGCCCTGCCCCCTCTGCAGAGGAGCTCCTGCTGCAGTGCAGAGACCTGGCCTCGGCCCTGCGTCTCCTGCGGGCCGACTGCCTCCACATGGGCCTGGAGCTGCTCCGGCGGATCCAGGAAAGGCTGCTCGCCATCCTGCAGCATTCCACCCAGGTAGGCCGCCCCGCCTGGGCCTCCCGTGCCCAGCACCCAGGAGACCTGGGGGTGTCCCAGCTCCTGGGCCAGCCTGCTGGGTGCTGTTGGACCCTGCCACGTAACCTCCTGGCATTTCTTACAAAATAAAGGAGTTAGCCCAGATCCTTGCTCTGCAGAATCAGTTGGGGACCTTTTTCAGACATACTTCCCAGATGTGGATTCAGAATCCCAGGAGTCGGGGTCAGGGGGTGGGGTCCACTGAGTAAGGGAGCTGAGTCTTTCCAGCCGTAATGCGCTGACGTTGAGTCTGAACTAGGAGTCCCACCCTCAGGGAGCGTACAGACTGACGAGTCACGAGTAGGAAAGATATGAGCATACACTGAGCTCCTGAAGCAAGGCCGGTGTGCTGACCTGTGTCCTGTGTCCCTGGAGACACCTCTGGTGCTGTGGTGAGGGAGGGAGAGCAGGTGGGAACGTCCTGCCAGGAGCATGGCGCCTAGTAGGCCCTCGGAGAACGTTGGTTGGAGAAACGCTGGGCAGAGGCTCAGTGGCCTCTCCTCTCCTACTCCCCTGTCCTCTGTCTTTGCCAGGACTTTCGGGTTGGTCTCCAGAGTCCATCGTTAGAGGCCCGGGAGGCGAAAGCGTCCAACGTGCCCAGCAGTCGGTGAGTATGGGCGGAGCCCCTGAGGGGGGTGGGATATGGCAGGCCTCCCCTGGGGCTGAGCAGCTGGCTCTCTCCCTATTGATGGCGATCTGTCTCCCCAGGCCCCGGGGCTCCTCGGGGCTGGAGACGGATGAGGAGGAAGGCGAAGACGACATGCCCGAGTGGCAGCAGGACGAGTTCGATGAGGAGCTGGACAACGACACCTTCTCCTATGACGAGGAGTCCGACAACCTGGACCGGGACGCTTTCTTCTTCGGGGATGAGGATGAGGATGAGGATGAGGGCTATGACTGAGGGGCAGGATACAGGGAGCATCCGGAGCCGCCCAGAGCCGCGGGGCCAGGGGGCCGGCAGTTCATCCCTGACCACTGTCCTGGGTGCTCGGAGGGGGCGGTTCCCAGCATCTGCAGCACCTTCTTCTGTTTACTGAATAAACTTTTTTCATATACTTCTCTGAAGCGGGCCCGTTCTAACTCCCCTGCTCCCCGCACACCCAACCCTCCTCTAGTTTTCTTTAGACCTCCAGACTCTTCTGTTGTCAGACACGGCCCAAAGCTGACCCTGTGACCTAGGCTGATAACAGGAAGTGAAGGTCCATGTGGCACAGGCTTGCCACTTGCCCCAGGCCCAGCCAGACCCAGCCCAGCATCAGAGGAGACGGGACGGCCATCCCCTTGGTCAGCCTTCCTCTAAACTCCTGAATGTTCCTGGGAGGGGCCTGCGCATTAGGAAGGGCCCTCTTGGGGGCCTGCAGACTTTTCACAGGTTTTCTCTGCATCTCAAAGTGAAGTGTGTTGGAGGAAAGGG